AAAAAATTGGAGTTTGCCGTACCAGACTTGGTAAACAATTGTACAACGGAAGTACAAGTGCGGGTCAGACCTGAGAGTGCTACCAAATCCGACTTCAGGCATTGTCAGTGAAACACGACTTCAGGCGTCGCTACACATTGTCGGTGAAACGTCGAATCGTCGTGTACGCTAAGCAGCACGGTCAGCGAGCAGCCGTTCTTATTTATTTGACATTTGTTATTCCCATAACAGTATTTTTACAGAATAAATTAATTGCAATTATCCCTTCCCCATTTCACAATGAAAAAGTTTGATCACCCTGGTTTAAGAGCCACTGGCTACAAAGTTGTCAAAATGTTACCTCAAATAAGCACCACCCAGAAATGAAAGTGTTACAAAGTGGCTCTTATTTGAGGGTTTTTACTGTAGAACCAAAAAATTTTGAATTATTATGCTTATTAGGGAATTAATATGAACAGATTTTTATCCCAAACTAATTAGGTTTGTACATTGTCCTAGAGCATCTTTGTACTAAGTTTCATTGAAATGGAATAATTAGTACTTTAGATATCAGTGTGAAAGCTTAAAATTGGTTAATTATGCAAATTAGGTAATTAATATGTACAGATTTTAACCCACAATTATGCAGGTCTGTCTATTGTCCTACAGCATCCATGTACATTCATTGATATGTGATGTTTAATACCTGAGATATCAGTGTGAAAGTTGGTTAATTATGCAAATTAGTTAATTAATATGCACAATTATTTACCCTAAAACTAATCAGGTCTCTGCATAGTCCTAAAGGATCTATGTACCAAGTTTCATTGAAATGCGATGATTAGTATATGCAACCGGAATCATTGAGTTGACCGAGTTGAAATTTATATGCATTTCATAACAATTCAACAAATTTATTTTCTGTATGTTATTATAATCACTACTGAGTAATGATCAACAAATCACAGCTGAAACACAGAAAGACTGGATTGCGCAACTATGATCATTTGCTGCTACGCAATGCAATTATGTTCGTTTTTAATTGAAATTTCGTTTAGAATATACCAGTACTTTTGTTACCGATGAAAAAAAAAAATATTTGATGGACCAAGTCCGTTAATGTGATTTTTTGGAGAAAAATGACACTGGGTGACATTGTAATGAAATTTTAGGCAGTCTACTTTTTAATTCAGAAAAAAAATGTATCAAATTTTAGATTAGCTTCTGCAATAGTTTCTTTCATCTTGGGTGACCCAACTGCCGGCCATGTAGTCGGCATAGTTAAATTTTTCAATGAAAATAGAAGATTTTTTATAAAATTTTGAACCCTAAAATAAGCGCCCACCAGCAGTGAAATTGCACGACAAAATCCGGTAATATCAAAGCAATCAGACTTGCAGTTTTTAACAAGAAGTTGAAAATATCACTTTTTACAAAAAATGTTCATCAAAATTAGAAAATTGAAGATATCACGAAATGAACAAATCTGAGAGAGGTCTGCCTGATAACTAAAAACTGACACCCCTCTTCATTTTCTACTGAGATTGGTAATGGTACGACCCATCTGTCACTAATTCAGATCAAGGTCATGACCATGTCATGACATCACTGAAAACCCTAGCATTAGCTAGCTAATTATTTATTCTGAGCATACTCGGTTGTTCTCACAGTGGTGTTGGGAGAGGTAGTTTTGGATGAAAATTATGAATCAAAGAAAACTTAGAAAGAACTCCCGTGTGCTGAGAGTATTGGAGACACACTAAAAATTAATTCAAAATTACTTGAACTTGAGATATTGATGGAAACGCAGAAAACTAATTATGCAAATAAGGTAACTAATATGAACAAATTTAAGATTTAAGTTTCATTAAAATGTGATTAGAACCAAAAAATTATTAATTAGAGAATTAATATGAACAGATTTTAAACCAAAATTAATAAAGGCTGCCTATTGTCCTAGAGCATTTATGTACCAAGTTTTTTTCAAATGTGATGATCAATACTTGAGATATCAGTATTAATTAATTATGTTAATTAGGTGATTAAGAAGCATATATATTTACCAAAAACTAATATGGTGTATAGTCCTAGGTTCATTGAAATGTGATGGGTACTCTTTAAAAGTTTCATTAAAATCGAATGAGTGGTTTTTTAGACATCAGTGCAACAGCCATAGAACAGCAAAAAATTAACTAATTATGCAAATTAGGTAATTATTTATCCCAAAATTAATTAGGTCTCTACATAGTCCTAGAAGATCTATGTCGCAAATCTCATTGAAATGTGATAATTAGTACTTGAGATATCAGGTGAAAAGCTGAAAATTAACTAATTATGCTAATAAGGTGATTAATATGCACAAATATTTACCCAAAAACTAATTAGGTCTCTGCACAGTTCTCAAGTAACTATGTACCAAGTTTTAATGAAACGTGATCATTACTACTTGAAATATCAAAAGCTGAAAATTAATTAATTATGCAAATTAGTAATTACTATGTACTGATATTACCCAAAAAAACTATCAGTCTGTGCAGTGTCATATGACATCTATGTACTAAGTTTTATTGAAATGTTATGATTAGTAC